GTGTGTCGCAAAACCCACCAGCAATGACAGATTAACTATAGTCATATGAACAATTCGGGTATTCTTCATTTGAATAGTATATAATATGTGGAATTTAAATCAACTAAATCACTAAATCAACATTCGAGATAATAATTAAAATTAGAAAGCAGCGTGACAACAACTGACAAGATAGGGAAGGGCTGTAACGGATGTGAGGGATATTTAAGGTGCGCTTCACGCACTTTTACTCATACCTTTCTTTAAGTTTGTTCATGCTTGGCCAGAGTACTGATGTCAAATCCCAACATGACGGCCATGAATAGCTCGAAATAATTATCAGAATAAGGATCTCTATGAGACACCGTCTCCACTACATGGAGGTTACGCAACGCCAATGCTACAAAGAAGCAGTACTATGCGACAAGGGCTCCACTGCAGTGCGTGAGTCTATTCGCTCTATTTTGATGACGATGTGTCGTTGTGCGGAGTTTAGTGTAATCCCATGTCAATGATCACTCAACATTAATATTATCCCGTATTTCCATGTCCATTTGTCGACATGGCAATGCACGGAAAAGAAGTAAACACTATTAAGTGATTGCTCTCTGAGTAAACTCGCATATGTTTTCTGTTTAAGTAATTTGAAATAACATATTTAACTAAACCGAGAATTATTGCAAAATCTATATTAGGAAAGAGGATGGGACTCTGTAACTGAAAGCATTGTAGATGTATGGAAGATTTTTTGTTGTTTGTTTGTTTGTTTGTTTGTTTTAAGTCGCACTCACCAACGGTGGCCTCTAAATAATCTGGACCAGACAAACCAGTGACTGATATTATGCACAACTTCCCACGCCACCGAGATCCAATGACACACAATCACAGAGACTGACTACCCGCTCCATTATGTGATGTGATGTGTGTGTGCCGATTTTATAGTGCTAACCCACTGAGATACCATGCCTCAGTTTAACATGAATACCCCACTCAGACACAGTGTACTGACTACGAGCCGACCAGTCCTTGTTTTAGCCCCTTAATCTCGAGTACCAAGCAGGGTAACACTAAGTACCATCTTTTAACGTTTTTTGGTATGACGTGGCCGGTGATCGATCCCCGATCTTCCGCTCTCCGGGCGGACGCTCTGCCAATAAACCACGGAGGCGGTCTCGATGCCACCTGCCAGCTTGGTACATGAATAAAACAATCGACATTAAGAAATGCATCAAAATAAGTCTCTCCTCGTCCAAATACAGTAAACACTGAAGGCGATTTTTATAATTATCAAAGTCTTATTTCAGGGGGGGCACGGGTGGCCCAGTCGTCTAAGGCGCCGCGATTCGCTGTGCAGAGTTGCGTCCCTTGGGTACGCCAGAAACCTATGATTGTGGGGTCGAATCCCGGTTCGCCCCGATTATGTTTCTAGGTTTGTCAGCACCATACCCGTGCTCGTGGGTTTCACCGAAGTGGTAAACGCCTGAGACCTGCATCACTTCGGGCTTTCCTCCCACATTAAGCTGACACGCCGTGATACTGGAATACTGTTAAAAGCGGCGTTAAACCCAACTCACTCACTCTTATTTCAGGTCATTCACCACTATCCCCAGCCACTAAATTTATTATGACATTGAAAGTATACACTGGATATAAAGACGGAGAGCGTATGTTTATGTGTTCTTTAGGCCTTACCTTTTGTCGCTTGGTTTACGGATCCGCAGAGCTCAAAAAATCAAAATTCAGAAGAAGAAAAAACCGACGGTAATTATCGCTTTGATAATTGTAATAACGTGAAACATCTTTATATGACTTACAACAGATTCTTTTACTTTTGATAATAAATATCATTTTTTTCAATAAAGAACTACATTGATGCAGTAGGCGTCTCTCCCCAGGGCTAAATATAGGGTGACGTTGTGCAAAACAAGCTTAGCGCTCCGACTGTCTTAAGACTGTGTTAAGTTATGAGAGTTGCGATCACCTTAGCGCTAAGATTGCTTTGTCCAACAGATGTCATGTTAAACTACAATCAAGTGTCATACCAAACAATCCATAAAACTGAAATGCCGCTGTCAAATTTAGATTTATGATATTTATGAAGAACAAAGCCAGGTCAAGATTATTTTTTATCACCTTCTGATCTAAATGAAACGTTTGAGTTGATAGAATGTTGTTTTAGTTTTGTTATACGTATCGATCAAATATTTCACTATCCCAATCCGTTAACCAAAACAAAAAATCCGGCCTTTTATATGGAAAAATAATTTTATCGATGCGGGATCGGAACCGAATTAATTTAGCTGAAAAACATTTTAGCGTAGACTGGTCTCTGAGAAACAAAAATATTTTCTTGGTCTTACCTACATCTATTACAAAATATATAGACCGCCTATGTAGTCTCATGTGTGAGCGGAAGGTCGGGTTTTCGACCCCCGGCCGCGTCATGCCAAAAGACGTTAAAAGATGGCTCTTGTTGTTACCCTGTCAGACGCTCGGGGCTAAAACAAGGGCTGGTCGGCTCGGAGTCAGTATACTGTGTCTGAGTGGGGTATTCGTGTTAAACTGCGGTATGGTATCTCATTGGGCTAGCACTATAAATCGGCATCAGTCCGGACTAGTACAAGCAGCCAAACACACACACACACACACACACACACACACACACACACACACACACACACACACACACATGCATGCACGTCGCTATATAAGTGCAATAATCTTGGACGCGACGTTAAACCCCATTTCACCTCACCTCACCTCATCAGTCCGGACAGCAGCCACACACACGAGCATAAACGTCGCAATACATGTGCAACGCGAAGTTAAACCCCATTTCCCCGTGCCTCACTACTTAATACATGATGTATCCTTTGTTAAAATCGTATTAAACATATCAACGATGGATTTCATTTTCTTAAGGCTGTGAATGCGCTATTGTCTAAATGGCGTCATTCCTAGCGAAATATATTTTTAATTTATTACATATCGTAACTCTACAAAAAGAAAACACAAACTTGCTGTAGATGAAATCTCATTACCGGCAATTCACTTGCATTTTGCATGATCGTAATAACCAAATGGTATATTAACATAACAAACAGCAGGTACATGTATGCAACTCAAAAGAACTTAAGGACCGCCCGTTTCTTTCATATTACTAAAGTCATGGCATGACAGATTATAACCAAGATTACTACTAAACAACTCTGTGGTCCGAGTGGTCTTACTTATTTAAACCATGGCTAAGATTCAAAGAATCAAATGTTTATACATCATTATCTCGATAACTGTATTCAAAAATTGTTTGAACACTGTGTGAATCGCCCCTGCGTGAAATGTTTTCTCTGAATCTTTCGCATGTGCACCACCCTTTTCGGCGACTCGGGTTATATATCCATGTTCCGGGTCAGCTATACAATTCACACTGGACCAACCAGAGCGCATCTCTCAATCACCCAAATATTACTTGTTCATGTTTAATATCCTATTAATAGCAACTACAGCCCTGATCAAGGAAAGACTACATTTCTATATGTTCGAAGAGTTACAAAATTAAACGTGCACAAAAAGAAGAGTAAACATATATACCCTTTAAACACAAATATCCCTATTCAAAAATGAATTTCAGTTATCCATACTGCGTGGATATCATACCTTGTCCTTTGTTTACCCGGGCGATCTCGGTGTGTACGCTCCTATACGGATTAACGGGGTTTCAATCGAAGTATTTTCGTGGGAATGAAACACGGCCATGATGGTGTGGAGTGAGTGAGTGAATGGTGCCTAGTGACGCGGAGGACAACATTGGTATTATCAATGCATATTGCTGGAAGTGGAAATAGTAACGGTTATAATACGAAGCAAGGTCTATGCATATACTTTCAATGTACCGCGAAGTCAAACAGGCCTTGTTTGACAGTAGTGAACCACAAGATACAAAATCTCACTGAGTTACTTATCGCGTATAGGCTGTTTGTTTGTTTATTTGTTTGTTGTTTCACGCCAGACCCAGCAATATTACAGCCATATGACGGCAGCGTGTAAATAATCGAGTCCGTACCGGACAGTCTAGTGATTGACATCATGAGCATCAATTTACGCAATTGGGATAAGTCTCCAGTTCCGTTAGTCGCCTCTTACGACCAAAAATGTTGCTAAAGATCAATTCTAACCTTGATCTTCAGGTATACTGTCTTATAGGCAGTATTTATATTGAATACAGCAGTAAACGAACGGTAACAGTGTTATGTGTACCTGTACTCTCGCCCATCAGTATATGAACTATGAGTTAGTCACCTTCACTGGTTCCGTGGGGTTTGTGGGTGAAGTATGAAGTAGGGATGGGTGGGGGTGGGGGGTTGGGGGATTGGGGGGCGGAGGGGTACAAGTCTCTATATGAAAGACACCACATCTGCACGAAGACTATGGAATTTGAATGTTAAGTTAAACAGTGGGTCTACCAATGCCCTCACGACATCTGCGTCGTTCATAACAAAAACACACTTGCGTGTGTTTGAAAACTTATATTATACCCATTATGTCCGCACGAGATATCTCTTTTCAAATTACCAAAATTCCTGCGGTGTAAAGGGTCATCAAATAGAACTTTAAAACCACACTGTGGCTAAATGCTACTTAAGAACCAAGTTATATTACACTATTAGCTTCGCTTTTGAAAAGCTAAACAGACATTCTACATGTTTCAGACCAAATTGTGTCCGTAAATTATTTAACGACATATCCAACTCCTTAAAAGTTACAATACGACAGACACAGACACGTAGCTGTAAATCTCTTCTACAAAGTCTATTGGCTTTAATAGCAGAATATAACCCTCACAAAGTTGAATTTATGTTGGCAAGCAAAGAAATATTCTTTCGAGAAACTTTACAGATTTAACGAAATATTAAATACTCTGCGCGTAAGTTCAATAATGTCAACGTTAATTGTATGTCAACATCAAACGTAACATGCCCAATCAAAAGTTATCAAACATAAACTAAAAAAACACGTCAAAATCAATATTTTAATTTATAAAACATTATTCAATATGATTATGCAACGAATGTATTATGTTTGCTATTATGAAATTATAGATCACAACATACCTCGATGAGAACAGAAATGTAAACATGAATAAACATAGTGACATGCATATGATTGGTACTGTTTGTATAGACAATGGGATCACTCGTTAGATTATTCGGACATTGGCCGCAAATCCGAAAGTTCGCTCCATGAATCCAGGTGCAAGTCATAGTCACGTAATGGTGTCCCGGTCACTTAATGGCGTATTGCAGACGCAACTAAAATCAATGAATATCACATACTTCCCTCTTCTTAAATATGTTTGACATGTCAATTCTTCAAACCCACACTTTTTCATGTTTTCTAGTTTTCACTAAATATTATGATAGTAAAGAGTGAATATATGTGTATATTATGTAATTTCCACTAGTTTTAGTGATGGAGACTTCATGAAAATATCCCGTGTGAATTTCATGAATATAATTGTCTATTGTCTTGGTTGTAAGAATTTCATGTCCGCATATATTCTCCAAGTTTCACGGATGTACATTTCACTGAGTGGAATTATTCATGCCACTGTCCACAAGTTAGTCTGAGTACGTCAGGCGTTATCCAACAGTCAAGGCAAGCCATTAAGTTTGAAACGTACACAATTGATAGTAAATATACATGTATACACCAGTTAGTTCAGATTCCATGGCGTTGCATCCCATATACCGTTTACATTGTTTATGAATGATACAACAATTATGACGTTTACGCATTTCCAATGCGATCATGTCTTTAATCTTGCCTCTAACGTGATCCTTTGGAAAATCCAGTTTAAGAACACGAACTTGCACCAACATCCGTCATATAATGACCAAATAATGTCTTCAGTTAATAAATAACGCACTCACAATGTCACTATCACAATAAAATCACCGCGCATGCATAAATGGGTGGAATCGGGTCGGGTATGACGACAATGATTTGGTTGGAACAGGTTTCCATACTGACGACTGAAGCAAGTCTAGCCGTGGTGGCACAGGCCCCTGACATTCAAGTCCTTTATGGGATGACTCTGGGTTCGGATTGGTACAGTTACACCCAATGTATGGACACCCACCAGTGAGTGGTACTGTAGGTAATGAATGTTTCTTGTTTTGCTGTGGATGGCCAAGAGGCCATAAATTGTCACTGAACGGCGTGGCTTGTGCGTCCATCCTGTTCTTCATGCCATAGTTGTAATACAAAAACTCTGTTATTGGAAATCTGCTACCCACCGCACCAAGTCCATGGGCTTGAGCTATATGGAGTCGGTCTAAGAAGTCCTTGTATTCGTGTCCTTGCTGATACCAATTGAAAGGTAACATTCCCGGAACCATTTGATGTTTAGGGACATTAGGTTCCTTCCAGAACGATGCTGGCAGATGGCGCTGTCTAAGAGGAACATCGGACTTTTCATGTGATGCATAAAAGTGCCCACTGTTTACAAATCCCGGCCTGAGATGACGGACATCGATATGACTTTTGGCCGACGTTGGTAGCGATGACGACGTCGTAGGAAAACAGTTCATGCCGGCGGGGTTAGGGGGAAGAAGGAAGGCGTATTTTTCCGGCAGGGGAGAAACACGATCTTTACTGCTACAGGTGTTGGTCATTTGGTCAGTAGTGTCCTTAGATGACCACTTGTTGTTGACAGAACACGACCTCCGTGTTTGTAGAGAAGGGTCGCCCACAGCACCCAGTGAGGTTCCGGTGCCAGGCTTTAACAGATATGATAGCTGCCGCTGGATATATCTCCGATGATCGACAACACGCTTAGATCTGTTGGGTGAAGCCAGAACCGTTTTTATATCCCTGGATACCAAGTTGACAAAACGCAGAAGAGAGGAGGCGTCTTTCTCTATTTCGTGATCTCTTCCACTAGAACTGTCGTCTGCTGCTTCCCGCCACGCGCAGGTTCCCGCCCTCTGCTCTCCTTGGCTAGTGCCTCGGGTTCTGCGATGCACGTGTTGCACGCGGGAGGTTCGGCAGTCTTCTGTCATAACTGGGATACAACACGCTGGTCGGGAGGCCAGAAGTCTCGCGATGGCAGGCTCTACACCACCAGGTAATTGTACGGAATGTTAACATGCCCGTAATGCTGAAACTGGCTCCCAAGTCATCCTAAACATGCGAATTGGAAAGTGTCAAAACAAACAAAAATATATACCTCGTGCACGGATTCCCCCCTTATCGCTCTCTCATCTTGTTCCTAGTGTGCCGGAAAATTCTCAGTCCAAATTCTCCAAATTCGTGACTGAGGGTAGAGGATGCCATCCAGCTCTCTTAACAAAAGCCCGCTCTCCCGAGAATGGAAAAACGCCCGTCCCGAAATATGGCGTCTTTTTCTAACAATCTCGGATACCGGGGGGGATAATGTCACTCAAGGGGAATTTTTAAAGTTACCCTGCTCTCACTTTGCACACATGTGTCAAAATGTCACTCGTGTTTCGGAGAAAGAGAAAGCAAATCACTTTCGAGTCAGCAAATTAAACTTTGTGTTTTCCCATTCCCAGAATTCTGCTAAGAAGCGAAGTCACGCGTTTACTGTGTTTTTCTTGGTTGCCTAAAACAGAACACAAAAGGGATCATTTGGTATGAGGCGACATTTGCTGATCCCAAACGAAGAATATGACAGATTGGATCTATGAAAATATTTCAAGGAAACATTAACTGCTTAAACCCAATATTTGACCTTCTCAAAGAATGGAAATATTATGACAATGTTTTTAAAAAAAACCACAAGATGTTGTTTATGAGACGGGAAATGTGACAGATATGACAGCATTTCTTTTTTAAAAAGTCCATGTGGCTGTTGGTGTTAATACTATCTATTAATATGACATCAACTGCAGACACTAAATGTTATACAAACTGACTTGCATACTAACTATACATATATGTTCTATATATGTCATATACTAACTGTTTTCATGCATACTAATTGTACATAAAAAATAATAACACATACTAACTGCTGACATGCATATCAATTGGTAATATGAAATATATATGTCATACACTGTTGACATGCGTAATAAATGTACATGTACGTATGAAATATATTTGCTGTATACCAATTGTCGATATGCATACCAATTGTTAATATGAAATAAATATATCAAATGATTGCATACATATCGACTATTAACATACATACACTTTAAACATTCACAAGAGAAAATGAATATAAACAATAGCCGACATACATTTTAAAGCTACCCCATGCTGCACTTGGGAACCCCTACACAACATTGCAGTTTAACATGTAAATAGAGGGGCGGTGGGGTAGCCTAGTGGTTAAAGCGTCCGCTCGGTACGCCGAAGGCCCAGGTTCGATTCCCCACATGGGTACAATGTGTGAAGCACATTCCTGGTGTCTCCCGCCGTGATGTTGCTTGGTTATTGCTAAAACCGTAAAACCATCCTCACTCACTCATATGTGTAATCGATACATAAATGAAATGTGTTTGTTGATCTTGCATGAGCGCCCAGTTTCCTACTTGAAGCCTTTCATACTTACATGTTGTATTTTAATTTTTCCGTTTATAAAACAAGATACAATGACACGAACGTATGCTGAAATGTGAAAGTAACGGTAAATTGAACCGTTGGAGTACCAACACAGATGTTCACTCATCAGACAGTGGCGCTAATTAGATTTCAAATACGAACGTGAGATTTACATATATATTACATACTTCATATCCCACGAAGTATAATCTCACCAATCCCCGCGGTCTGTTTAAACGTTCAGCTTCTGAAATAAGTTCAAATATGCATAAAATAACTTTGGAAGGTTGAAAACTTACCACAACACACCAACACACGTGTTCAGCTGCACCAAATACCAAGTTAACGCTCTCATCAAACACACGTTAAATATTTCTTTCCACAGTCGACACCCCAGACACGTGACCTGACCATTAAGTCATGTTTGGACTTCATTAATGTCCAACGACGTGCTAGGATTGTTTCGGGTGTGCCAGCTGGGTGCTGTTGTCGGGACAACCCGCCTTTCATATTCACAGCAGTTGCTCGGGAGAGTCGACATTCTCAGATACTATTTCCGAGGGCGTTGTGTTTGTTCATGTTTAAACTGCAAGAATGCCGAATGTTTTCATGCGCACCGGGGGCCCAGCTAATGCTGTGGTCTATGATTTTATGGGGTGGTCCACCCCTGTAATGGTTCGTCGTCGGATTTATGGGGTGGTCCACCCCTGTAATGGTTCGTCGTCGGAAACAATACTGCACAGGGGCAACATGACAAGATTAGCATTTTATCTGTCTTACATATACTTTTAAAGTAATGATGTTTCGTATAAGTCAACGCCAAGACCTGCAATTGAATATTTATTCCGTTGTTTTTCGTGTTCATATTACCGACCGTTATTGTTAAATATAAACATATAAACAAACAAGAAATGGTTGTTCGATCGTCATGCATTTGATACGGGTATCGTAGATATGTACTGAACCTTAAGTTTGAAGTGTTTCGGCGACTGTTTTCAGCCTTTTGATAACGTTTTTAATTTTCTCATCAAGTGTTTTCAAGTGTATACTTATTTTTGCCCGGCAGTTTATTAACTGTTGATATACTTACAAACTGTCGAAGTGAAATATATACTATATACTAACTGTTGAAATACGTATCAGGTGAGTGAGTGAGTGAGTATGGTTTTACGCTGCTTTTAGCAATATTCCAGCAATATCACGGCGGGGGACACCAGAAATGGGCTTCGCACATTGTACCCATGTCGGGAACCGAACCCTGGTCTGTGGCGTGACGAGCAAACGCTCTGACCACTAGGCTACCCCACCGCCCCCGCCGTCATATAGCTGGAATATTGCTGAGTGCGGCGTTAAACAACAAACCAACCAACTAATGTCGAGCGCCAAGCAGGAAAACAACCTGTTCCAACTTTTATGTTTGTCTGTTGTTTAACGCCGCACTCAGCAATATTCCAGCTATATGATGGCAATCTGTAAATAATCGAGTCAAGACAATCCTGTGTTTGCCATCATGAACATCGATCTACGCAATTGGTATCGATGACATGCATCAACAAAGTCAGCGAGTCTGACCATCCGATCCCGTTAGTCGCCTTTTACGGCAAGCATGGGTTGCGGAAAACCAATTCTACCCCGGAAGCTTTCTGAAATGGATTATGGATTGTCTCGGGTTCCATTGACATGTTAATCCTTATCTAACCAAATTTTGAATTGAACCAGCTTCAATCGTACTGCTTGTATGTGTATCATGGATTTTGAACATTGCAAACAAAATGATTCCTTAAGCTTGTTTTTGACATCACCCCCAGCCATGGTGAAATGTTTGGGGTATGAAGAATTCGGACCCATTGCTTAACACAATGTGTTATGTGACAGGGAAACAGCGGGTCGACGTTGTGTCTCCGCTCTGAATGCGGTGTGAAATATGCAGAGTTGGCGAGTCCGACGTTCAGTGAATAGAGTACACTCCAATACAATCCAGTCTATTATACTTGTGCTATGTGGAACCTATTACACTGGGCCAGTTAGCCGTAAAAGACATCGGATTGGTATATATCTGTGTGTGTGTGTGTGTGTGTGTGTGTGTGTGTGTGTGTGTGTGTGGAGAGAGAGGGGGGAGGGAAAGAGAGGGGGGGGTAGAGGGCGAGAAAGAAAAGTAGCAATATTAGTAGAAGTAGAGTAGAATACAGTAGTAGTAGTAGTAGTAGTTGTAGTAGTAGTAGTCGTGAGAATACAAAAGTCCAACGATGAGGTGTATAATTTACTTTCACGAATGTGAAGAAGAGTACACAGAAAGACAGAGGGAAAGGTATTTTGTTGTCGGCGCAAAACTAATACTAAAGTAGAGGAAGACTTATACTGTAATGTGGTAGTTATAGTGTTGGTAGTAGTAGTAGTATTGGTAGTAGTAGTAGCAGTTGTAGTAGTGGCGGAAAGTAGTGCTGTAGTTGTAGTAGCAGTAGCAGCAGTTGTAGCAGTGGTATACGTAGTAGTAGTAGCAGTTGTAGTGGTGGTGATGGTAGTAGTAGTAGCAACAGCAGCAGGAGGAGGAGGAGAAGACGCAGTAGTAGAAGTGGCGGTGGTGGTAGTAATGTAGTTTTAGTATTAGTAGTGGTGTTGGTAGTACTGTACACTTAGTGCGCTTATCGACACTTAGATCAATTCGTCACACATCGACACTGTCGGCAGTTGTTGGCGACACGAAGCTCAATTCGCCACACATTGACACAGTCTACAACTTGCTGTCGGCGACATTTAGATTAGTTCGTCAGACAGACAAATCTCGCTGTAAACCTAATGGATTCAGCCTTACGCCAGATAATCTACCAGTTGAAGGCGTCCGTTGTGCATGATTAACACAAGTCGAGAAGACAATCGTTACAGATATACGCTCCTTATTTTGACGTCTCTAATTCATCACCCCTCAAACCATCCTTATCTTAATGAAAATTTAAGCGCCACGCGTCGTTTAATTAACCGGTTTCGGAATTTTACACGAACTAACTTTCTTATCTCACCATGCAAGATAAACGAGAACTTGGCGCGAGATGGCACGAGATTATCAGATATGGTTGTTTCTGTCGATTAGAAGAGACTTCGGTGGTCCTCTGGTAATTAAATACAAATTTTCTCCTTTACGCCCGAGTTGCAGGTGTGTGGATGCTTATTTAAGGGTTCAGGAACAATCAGCGTAAACTTTGTTTCTTTCGGACATTTGTGTACGTGGTGGCTTGGAAAACATGAAACTGTCATCCGTATCACGAAAACCATCAACATTGCTAACACTTTTAGCAATTTTAAAAACATTGTGAAAAAAAGATGAATGCACTCAACAAGGATACGTCATGACACATTGTTCATTATTTATATTCTCGGGGTCACGAGGCTTTCTTCGATAAAGGAGTGTCTTGTTTACGTGACGGGTATATTGATTGGGTTGTACTCGACACGATGAAATGTTGTTTGGAAAATGACTAGTCTGTCAGTGAGTATTTCTAGAATATGTGCAGACACCAATTAACACAATAAACGAACAATGGAGGTTTTGCAACAGTTGAATTGAAATGGAGTCTGGCACAGGGCCATGTGCACCTTCATTTTCAGTCTGTGGTTAGTTTTGTTGTCGAGTCATCTTGAGGAGGAAAAGTACCAGACTTTAGCCTGCTACCTTATATACAGTTTGGTCATGTTTTGTCCCTGTATTACAGTGTGGTCATGTTCTGTCCCTGTAATACAGTGTGATCATGTTCTGTCCCTGTATTACAGTGTGGTCATATTCTGTCGATGTATTACAGTGTGGTCATATTCTGTCGATGTAATACAGGGCGGTCATGTTCTGTCGATGTAATACAGTGTGGTCATGTTTTGTTCCTGTATTACAGTGTGGTCATGTTCTGTCGATGTAATACAGTGTGGTCATGTTCTGTCGATATAATACAGTGTGGTCATGTTTTGTCCCTGTAATACAGTGCGGTCATGTTTTGTCCCTGTAATACAGTGTGGTCATGTTCTGTCGATGTTATACAGTGTGGTCATGTTCTGTCGATGTATTACAGTGTGGTCATGTTTTGTCCCTGTATTACAGTGTGGTCATGTTCTGTCGATGTAATACAGGGCGGTCATGTTCTGTCGATGTAATACAGTGTGGTCATGTTCTGTCGATGTAATACAGGGCGGTCATGTTCTGTCGATGTAATACAGTGTGGTCATGTTCTGTCGATGTAATACAGTGTGGTTTATGTTCTGTCCCTGTATTACAGTGTGGTCATGTTCTGTCGATGTAATACAGGGCGGTCATGTTCTGTCGATGTAATACAGTGTGGTCATGTTCTGTCGATGTAATACAGTGTGGTCATGTTCTGTCGATGTAATACAGTGTGGTCATGTTCTGTCGATGTAATACAGTGTGGTCATGTTCTGTCGATGTAATACAGTGTGGTCATGTTCTGTCGATGTAATACAGTGTGGTCATGTTCTGTCGATGTAATACAGTGTGGTCATGTTCTGTCGATGTAATACAGGGCGGTCATGTTCTGTCGATGTAATACAGTGTGGTCATGTTCTGTCGATGTAATACAGTGTGGTTTATGTTCTGTCCCTGTATTACAGTGTGGTCATGTTCTGTCGATGTAATACAGGGCCGTCATGTTCTGTCGATGTAATACAGTGTGGTCATGTTCTGTCGATGTAATACAGTGTGGTCATGTTCTGTCGATGTAATACAGGGCGGTCATGTTCTGTCGATGCAATACAGGGCGGTCATGTTCTGTCGATGTAATACAGGGCGGTCATGTTCTGTCGATGTAATACAGTGTGGTCATGTTTTGTCCCTGTATTACAGTGTGGTCATGTTCTGTCGACTTAATACAGGGCGGTCATGTTCTGTCGATGTAATACAGTGTGGTCATGTTCTGTCGATGTAATACAGTGTGGTCATGTTCTGTCGATGTAATACAGGGCGGTCATGTTCTGTCGATGTAATACAGTGTGGTCATGTTCTGTTGATGTAATACAGGGCGGTCATGTTCTGTCGATGTAATACAGGGCGGTCATGTTCTGTCGATGTAATACAGTGTGGTCATGTTTTGTCCCTGTATTACAGTGTGGTCATGTTCTGTCGATGTAATACAGGGCGGTCATGTTCTGTCGATGTAATACAGTGTGGTCATGTTCTGTCGATGTAATACAGCGTGGTCATGTTTTGTCCCTGTAATACAGCGTGGCCATGTTTTGTCCCTGTAATACAGTGTGGCCATGTTTTGTCCCTGTAATACAGTTTGGTCATGTTTTGTTCCTGTAATACAGTGTGGTCATGTTTCGTCCCTGTAATACAGTGTGGTCATGTTTTGTCCCTG